CAATTGGGCGAAAAGATTTAGGACCAAAGTTAGCAGGCTTTTTAGGGATGGGGGTGATTCTCACTGTACGCCAGGCGTCGGGAATCTTGGACTCCATGAAAGACATATTGATTAGGTGCGTTAAAATAGGGGCTATCTGAGAGCTGCAAGATTTAAGAAGAAAAGGCGAGACACCATCCGGTCCGGCAGCTGTTGATCCACGAACCTTTTTAAGGTGTTTCTCTACTGTTGCCAAAGACACGGGTTGGAATGCACTCGGTGATAGGAGAATGTCTTCTAAGGGAAGATGGGAGTCATTGTGACTAAGTATAAAATTTTTATTTAGGGAGTCTAAATCTGCATCCACATGCACCAGCGTGTTGCGATGACCAGTGAGACGCTTAAGATTTTTCCAAATCTCAGCTGAGGAAGGGGGGAAAGGGGGGGAGTAAGAAGAGGAAAAAAGTTGGCTGACAAACAGGCTATCTAGCCTGTCAATCTCTGTTTTTATTAAGACGGTAACGTCCTTAATGTTATCACGTAAGCCTAGCTTGTGAAGGAGTTCTTTTTTACGTCTTAACGATTTCAGATAGGAGGAAGAAATTCTATCCGGTCGTACCATAACAGTATCAAAAGGGCAAAAAATATCGAAAATTTCCTTTAAAAACGCTGTCAGGTTGGAAGAACAGGATTCAACATTAGAATGTTCAAGGAAAGTGTGGATAGTAAGAGAAATGCAAGTCTGAAGCATGAGAATGTTTTCGGCGGACGTGTTGCGAACCTTAACCTTTCTTTCAGGCTTGGCAAGCAGTGCACGTTTTGAAGTGGAATAGATTTTTGGAAGGCACAATAAAGTGGAATGGTCAGAACCTGACAATGGAGCCCTGTTTTTTACGCAAAAAAGCTTACTATGGTTAGTCAGAATATGAGCAAGAGGGGCATCTCCGCGAGTATTAAAGGAGACAAGATCATCGAAGCCTAAAAGTGTAAGGGGACGTAAATTCACGCGATTAAAATCGCCGCATAAGAGAGTAAGATAGTCGCAGGATAATAAAGCAAGTTTTTGTGAGAGTAAGTCGAAAAAACGGGTTAATGCGCCTTCACAGGAAGAGGGGGGAATGTAAATACTAACAAATATGATGCCTTTAGAGTTACTTAACAAACGGGGCTTACATAAAACAGCGATTACATCAATTAAATCATCAGAGTAAGAAAAAAGGGACTTACAGTCTCTGCACCAATTTTGATTTACGAAAATGGCAACGCCTCCACCTCTGCCACAAGATAAGGATTTTCTATCTGTTCGAAAGCAGTAGAAGGATGGGGGAGTAATAAGCTGAGAATCAATGTCACTATTAAGCCACGTCTCTTGAAGGCAAACAACTTCAGTTTTGCTGTGTTCTTTTTTCGACAAAAGTAGCTCCAAATCATGGGTTTTGTTGAAAATAGAACGGCAGTTTGTCGACAAGAAGGCAGGAATTGACAATTTGTGATTCGGCTGACGTTTGAATGCGAAATTCTTGACTTCTGTCCAGCTAATCGGCTTCTGAGCTCTAGTCAGCATGGATTTTTGCCTGAACGATCCTGCGAAACATGCCACTTGGCTTTTCTTAATCTAATCACTTCTCTTCGTAATGAGCGGCAGTCAGTGGTAGTTATTTTCTTTGATCTTAGCAAAGCCTTTGACAAGGTGCCCCATAGACGTCTTTTAGTAAACTAGGAAGCTCTCGGCATCCGGCCGCCTCTACTCGACTTCATCAGGTCCTATCTGTCCAACCGATATCAGAAAGTCATGGTCGGTAATAGCTACTCGACACCTCACTCGATCACGAGTGGCGTACTTCAAGACACGGCTCTGGCCCACTACTCCACCACTCATTCCCGAACACACAGCTTCTTGACTTCGAGAAGGATCCTCCTGATATTTAGTGGTAGATCAAGTGGAAACCCTCAATTATATCATTAGAAACCCTG